ACAGCGAGAGAGGGAACACAAGCAGGGGGAGTGGGAGAGGGAGAAGCAGGCTTCCCGTGGAGCAGGGAGCCTGATGTGGGGCTCGATCCCAGGACCGTGGGATCATGACCTGAGCTGTAGGCAGACGCTTAATGACTGAACCACCCAGGCGCCCCTTCACTGCTACTTCTAGACACCTTTAAAAATTAGTTCACTATCCAGAGGTGTTTCTTTTTTTCCCAAAAAGTAAAAAGGAAAAGTAGAAGAATGATGAAGGCAATAGGAGGCTGTTTCAAGGTTTTGAAAAACTTTGAACCTTTCCAAAAATTATTTTTTGACTGATACCTTTTGGTATTATATTTTAACCTACCCTAAAAATATAGGTAAACAGAATGGTGAGTCAAATATACTGGCATTCTTACTGAGGTCATTTTCAGTAAAGAGAGCTTAGACTATATCATGATTTTAAAATAGTCTAGAAATAAATAGCTCATATACAAATGTCATTCAAGCACATGGTCATATCAAGTTAACATCTTTTACAGACTAATTTCTCTTTTTTAGCTGAAGTGAGGGGTGGGCAGTGAAAACATTTTTTTAAAAGAAAAGATAATCCTTAAGCGATTACATCAAATAAAATGTCATGATGTATGATAATTGTATTAACAACATATTAGCAACACAAACTATTAAACTAAAACTTACTAAACTTATTGCTTTTAAAAAAAGCATTGTTATAGAAGAAGTTTCTCAACTTAAATAATGCCTACTTATTTTTACACGAATTTTTTTCACATTGACTTAAAATCTTTTTCAGAATAGCTTACCATTCTTTTCTTTTTTTTAAGATTTTATTTTTAAGTAATCTCTACACCCAGTGTTGGGCTTGAACTTACAACCCCAGATCGAGATCACGTACTCTACTGACTGAGCCAGCTAGGTGCCCCAACTTACCATTCTTTAATAGTTACTTCTCTAATCCCTTCTCCGATGTCTGAGAGTTTGAATTGAACAATCTGTCCTTGCAGAGCTTCAAAGACAAATGAGAAATGGTCTCATTAAATAAGTAATGTATTCCTAACAGATACTTTCACAGCTAAAATGAGAAAATATTCTCAAGCAGAGGCAGAAACTATTGCATTTTACAGACAAAAATGTATTTTATAATTTTTAAAAGCATAAGCGTCATTCATAACCATCAAAGATTTAAATAAATCTTAAATCAGCGTCACAGACCTACTGATAACTGCCACAGCAATTCCATTTTCCCAACTTCCAAAATAATGCTCTTTTACAAGGACATAGAAGGCCCAGCTAGCTGGATCTCCTTGTTTTCTGTTATCAAGCTGTAATAACCACTAGTGTCCTGCTCTTAGATCTCTTTTGACTTCATGTAACTCTTCTCATTCTTAGTGGCTAACCATCAGGCAGGTCCGTATCTAGACAACTTGAAAAATTTTCATCTGTCCAAACCATGTTCTGCCAACTTATCTGTAAGTTTTAGTCCCTCTCCTTCCTCTTTCCACTGTTTATCCCTTTTTGAATTTCTACCCCACTCTTATAACAATTAGATGCAAGTGATACTTTATGGTAATTATTCCCAAGAATAAGTATTTCTGGTCAACAGAAAGTAGGTATGGATCCTCTCACTTTTCCAGGGTAACAAGTGGCTCTGAACTGATTCAAGAGTGCTCCTCTGTCTTCAGACTGCTATTCAACAAAATTGCTTACAAAACACACAACAAGCCAATTCAGGTCATAAGATTTTCTTTAATAAATACAAGGAGAGAGGTTAATGGTTAAGAAATACAAATGCATTTTTGATATGGAGGTATTAGGCACCTCATTTCCTCTCTAGTCAAGTTCGGTCCTCTCACAGCCTGCTGCTCATAGTACAAACTGGAACCTTTCTGAAAAAATAGTTTGGTATTAAGTATCAAAAGCCTTAAAAAAAAAAGTTCGTATCTTTGACTCAATAAACAATTGTGCTTTTAAGACTTTTTTCCCCTGAGGAAATAATTAAGAGAGGTACACAAAGATTTGTGCTCAAGAATAGTTATCATAGAGTTAAAATGAAGACCTGGGATACCAATCTAAGTCATCGAAAAATGACAAGTAAATATATTATGGCACCTCTATACAAAACAATATTATTCAAGGAACAGCATGTGCAAGAAGAACATGGAAATATAGTGCATAGCATGGTTAGGGAATAACACGCAATTCTATGGCTGAAGAGAGTATACGTGGCAAAAAATCAGTCCAGATTTAAAAAGGCTTTCTTTGCCATGCCACAGTGAGGTGTTTGGAACTTATCCTGCAGGTGATCATGAGCCAGTAAGTAAATATGGTCATCATTTTTTTTGCAGCTGCTCCCATAAGACGTAGAGTCTAATTTACCACTACTTAAATCTATGCTGGCAAATGACTTGCTTGGACAATAGAATATAGCAGAAGTAAAGTTGTACAAATTCTGGAGTCTAGACCTCAAAGGACCTCGCAGCTTCTTCTACCATCTCCCTCTTGGAATACTGCCTTGAGATCCCAGAGTAAGGAAGCTGATGTAGTCTATTAGAGGATGAAATAGACTACATATTAGTGGAAGAGAAATGAGACACCCCACCCAAAAACCAGCACCAACTTTCAGACACGTATGTGAGACCATCTTGCACCTTCCGGCCCAGATGATCCTCTAGCTGAATACAGTTATATTAGTGAGCTCAGGTGAAACCAGCAGAGGAACCACCCGGGTAACCCCCAGAATCCTGCGAAATAATAAATCATTGTTGCTTTAAGCCTAAAGTCGTGGGCAGGGTTGTTATTCAGCAATAATTAACCAACAGGGAATACCATCTGCAATTTCAGATCTGTAACTTTAAATCTTTAATTTTAGAAAGAAATCTCCTTGGCAGGAATGTGGGTGGATGGGGTTGGGGAAGGGATGACAGAGAAAGCAGTTAGGAGGCTACTACAGGTACGAAACTGAAGTATAGGATTTAATATATTTATATATTTTCAAAGCTGTCTGAAAAAGAGAAGACAGATTTAAGACTCATGTAAGATGTCAAATTAATAGATCTCAGTAATCAATTTGATGTGAAACAGGAATCTGGAAGTCTCCAGGTTTCTAGCTTAAGTAGGGAATATAGGAAGAGAATGTATCCCAAGCACCTAGAACAGTGCCTTGGCAGATAGCAGGTGATCAATAAATACTTGTGTTAAATGAATTTATTCTCACAACAATACAATGAGTTAGGCACTGTGATTACTCCCATTTTACAGATGATGAAATAGAAAGGAATTAAGTAACTTGCTTAAAGTTACACTGCTAGTAATTGATAGACCAAGAACCCAAAGCTCAAGGTGTTTAGACATTAGAGCAGGAAGTTGGGAGTTTCTGCTCGAATGGCCTCTATTTCCTCTGAGAAATAAAGAGAAAAGATCAACTTTTAAAAATAAAAATCTTAAAAAAAACAGGCAAAGGTAGGGTTTGTGTATCTTAGGGTGTTGTGGAAGATAACCTATAAAAAGGCATGGAAAGACTGATCTCAGGGGTTGGATCTGCCTGGTATTCCCCCATTTTTCATTGCTAGCACAGACTAAGGCATCAAGTATCTGTCAAAAAGCTTAATGGCTAGGGTTCTTTATCAGAGTTCTAAATAGAACATCAGAAAAAAAAAATCTTAGTGCCCTTGCCAAATCTAATACTTAAGCCTCAAGTTCTTTACTGAGGGTAGAAAAAGATGTGAGAAAGGTAATTAAATGGTAAAAGTCAGAAAACTTTCTATTTAGGAACACTTCAGGATGTTTCATCACACAATCTTAACACAACAGACTGAGGTAGGTGCTTCATGCAACCAGTAATACAGTGACAGTATAAGGATACAATCTGCTAAGTCAACAATTTACCTGACTATTGCACTTAGATGAGCCACATGATAAAGAGCAGATGGCCCAAGACAACCCATTCCCAATATTATGAAGACACAAGCATTACCGTAAAGATATGAAAGGGGATGGGGGGGCCACAGAAAAAAGAAGATAAGAAAAGGATAGATTCAGGGAAAGCAAGGAGGGCTGGGCTAGAAAGAAAAGGTTAACTTCTTTTACTTTGATAAGTCTTCAATTACTTTTTTAAAAGTTCTGAGTACGATATAAAACATTATTTTATATAGGCTATTTTGAGATCATACTTACCAGCAGTTGTTTTCAGCAACTGATGTGGATGACTATACTTGAATGAAGGATAACCAAAGAAATACACATATTTTGGCTTCAAAACATGAACATTCATACATGTCTGAAAGTAGCGAACACAAATCTAAAGATGAGAAAACAAAAAAGTAAACGCTTTTGTGGATGTTCTTGATGGCTTATCTCTCTAAGTACATACTGAATTTCAAGTCTATTCTAAAAGTAAAACAGTCATTATCACAAAGAAACAATATGAAATTATCCAGGCCAAAATGTGAACTGGCCAAAATCTGGAATCAATGAAAATCAAGTTTATTAAGATTGGTTATTTCTTTAGTATTTCTGTTCAAGAAATCAAAGGAACTTAAACCCTAGCACCTAGAGAACATTATTTTGTTCTTTTATTTAGTAAAACTACATCCTTGGAGTCAGATTTGTTTATATGCTTATGATCCTTGCCTAAAATTTCTTATGAAAGTGAAGAAATTTTAACAATGTATTTTATACAAACACATCAGTTTGTAGGTGCAGTCAAGTCACTAAAGACTTCCTACAACTATTAAAGAATTCAAAACTGACTGTTAGTGTCTAAAGACACTGAAAAACATGTGTAGTGCTATAGGGAAAGGTTTTCCTACTATAATTTCTTACTGTAATTTACAGATGACTCTTTAGGTGTAACCATTTTGTATAACATCTTAGTATAATGCAAGACAATATGTAATAGAAATAAGTAGACATGAACGTATTCAACTTGATATATTAGAACCTATGTGTTTAAAAAATAGACTATTTTATTTTGAAAGTTAATATTTCAACATTATTAATACCTGGTTAACTACATCACACTTTTAAACATAATGTAGAGAAATTTCTAACCCCCTTACTGTATTTGAGAATAGTGGAATGTATTTCAAATTTTTTTATTAATGTAGGAGTTACTTTTAATTTAAAAAATTACTTTATTGTCATGTACTTTATCCTTTAGTGATTAGCCTTTTATGTTATAATATGTATTATGTATTTATAAACAAGAATTTTGTTCTTTTTCTGAGAGCAAATAATATAAAAACAAATATTTGGTTTACCAATAGGAATAATACATTTAAATTATTGCATGATATTTCACCTTAATTTCCAAGCTGTTACTGATTTCTGAAGGCAAAGAAACACTAAAGATCCTTTTCCTAAAACATAATCTTAAATCATGCATCTTAGTTTTATCTTAAGAGATAATCATAAAGCAACTAATCTTTACGATATATATTTTATTCTTATTAACATTCAGGAAACATAAAACTTAACTAAAGTTGATAGCTTAAAACTTAGCGGATAGTGGGGCGTCTGGGTGGCTCAGTTGTTAAGCATCTGCCTTCGGCTCAGAAATAATGTACTTAGAGAGATAAGCCCTGGATTGGGCTTCAGCCCTGCATCGGGCTCCCTGCTCGGCGGGAGGCCTGCTTCTCCCTCTCCCACTCCCCCTGCTTGTGTTCCCTCTCTGGCTGTGTCTCTGTCAAATAAATGGATAGAATCTTAAAAAAAAAAACTTAACAGATATTGAAAGAATTCTCTTTCCCAAACCCCCATTTTCTGTGTCCTTTCTTTCTCCTTCAACTCCCACAACCCTGGCTCTTAGTCAACAACAGAATCAAAGGCGTGTATCAACTTACAGTTCATCAGACATTCATAAATTTTAATTTAGGGCAGTAAATGGAAGTTTGAATTATATGGATTCACCTTGATTTTTTTTAAAAATCGTTTTTTAAAAAAACCTTTGAAAGGGGGCGCCTGGGTGGCTCAGTCATTAGGTGTCTGCCTTCAGCCCAGGGTCCTGGGATTGGGCCCACATCGGGCTCCCTGCTCAATGGGAAGCCTGCTTCTTCCTCTCCCTCTCCCTCTCCCTCTGCTTGTGTTCCCTCTCTCGCTGTCTGTCTCTGTCAACTAAATAAATAAATAAAATCTTTAAAAAAAAACAACCTTTGTTGAAGGTCCTACCTTCAACAACTGGCAACTTTTATTGAAGAACTACTCACCAGGCAAGGGAGGCAGGAACTATCAAACTTTATTGAGTTCCTACCTAAGTGCTGGGTACTTTAAAAATCTCTCTCTCTCTCTTTTTTATCTTCTTTTGTTTTTTTTTTTTAAAGATATTATTTATTTATTTGAGAGAGAGAGAATGAGAGATAGAGAGCATGAAAGGGAAGAGGGTCAGAGGGAGAAGCAGACTCCCCGCCGAGCAGGGAGCCCGATGTGGGACTCGATCTGGGGACTCCAGGATCATGACCTGAGCCGAAGGCAGTCGCTTAACCAACTGAGCCACCCAGGCGCCCTCTTTTTTATCTTCTTTTTATCTCACAATTACCTTCTGGAATAATAGGCACGTTAGCCCTCTGAAAAACTAATGAGTGCTTTGCCCAAGGTCACAAAACAAATGGCAAAATTCAGCTCTGAAACCAAGTAAATTTGACTCTAAAGCTGAGGCTCTTTCTCTCACACCACACTGTTATATGTAGGAGAAATAATCTCCGCTTTGAATTTATAACCTAGCTGAAACAATAACCCCCACCCCTCCACACACAGACATTCATGCATGGGCATGTATGCTCTAGTTTTTGTAATAAGTATAGGCAGTAGGTTTTAGATGAGTTTAGAGTTTTTTTGTGCTTTATTTTGTTTTTTCAGGTTGGCTTGATCTGGGAAGGCTTGCAGGAGGAAGAGTTGAGGTGGGCTTTGCATAATAAGTATTAATAATTAAAGAGCAGAAATGCACTTTTAAGGCAGAGGGAACAGACTAAACAAAGGAACTACTGCTGGAATTTGTCTCCTCAGGCAGTGAGTTGCTTGATTTGGCTTGATCAAATTTATAAAAGGGACCATTGGAAGTGGCTCAAGGACCAAATTGTAATCCTGTAAATGTCAGGATAAGGAGTATGAACTCCCACACTATATATTATTGAAGAAAAAGGACTAAGAAATTAATGCAGTTGCAGTTTATTGATTATTAACAGGAAAGCCAAGTAAGAGAGGAAAAAGTTAAGAAACTATTATAGTATTTGAGGCATGAAATAACGGGCTCCTGAAGTGATTTACAGTGGAAAAGGAGAAAGCAACCTAAGTACAACAGGCATTATATGGTAGTGATTAAATGGATTAAGAGAAGGCTAAAAAACATTAGTGAAACTGCTGAATGGAAAGATAAAAAAGCAACAGCAGGGAGAAGGAGAAAAAATAATTTGTCAAGCTAAAAAAGACATTTTTTTCTAGAAACAGAATACAAAAAATAGGAGATGAAACAAAGTTCTAGCAGATTCAAATAAGGAAATAAATAATAATTAAAACAGGCAGTTGTTGAGCACTCCTAAAGACAGGGATTGTGTGCTCGCTTCGGCAGCACATATACTAAAGACAGGGATTGTGCTGGGCTTGGGAATTCAAAGCTAAATAAGCTACAGAATATAGTCCCTAAATTCAAGTTGCTTATACTTCATTACAGGAAGAGAGACAAAATTGAAAAGTTCAATGTTAATTCAATATGATAAGTTAATCAAGAGTCAATGCTTGGGCGCCTGGGTAGCTCAGTCGTTAAGTGTCTGCCTTCCGCTCAGCTCATGATCCCAGGGTCTTGGGATCGAGCCCCACATCGGGCTCCCTGCTCTGCGGGAAGCCTGCTTCTCCCTCTCCCTCTGCCCCTGCTTGTGTTCCAGCTCTCGCTGTGTCTTTCTCTGTCAAATAAATTAATTTAAAAAAAAAAAAGAGTCAATGCTTGATGCAATAGGGGAGTATAAAACACAACATAGTAAGGCCTTGTTAATAATCTACTATAAGTATTAAGACCTCTTGTTGTTGGGCGCCTGGGTGGCTCAGTTGGTTAAGCGACTGCCTTCGGCTCAGGTCATGATCCTGGAGTCCCAGGATCGAGTCCCGCATCGGGCTCCCCGCTCAGCGGGGAGTCTGCTTCTCCCTCTGACCCTTCCCCCTCTCATGTGCTCTCTCTCTCTCAAATAAATAAATAAAATCTTTAAAAAAAAATTGTCATTAAGACCTCTTGTTGTTTTTAACTTTTTAACAGATGGAAAAAATGGACTTTTTACTGAGTTGTTCAACAAATGTTTATTGAGTACCTACACTGTGCCAGGCACTTGGGATTAGAGAACAAAATAGATGAATTCCTCTCTCATGGAATGTACAGTCCATACCCTCAAAGGAAGACAAAGAGGTGATGATGACCATAGTGTTATAATGGGAGAAACAGAGTATTAAAAACAAACACATAGCAGCAATGTCCACAATAGCCAAACTGTGGAAAGAGCCAAGATGTTCATCGACAGATGAATGGATAAAGAAGATGTGGTATATATACAAAATGGAATATTATGCAGCCATCAAAAGGAATGAGATCTTGCCATTTGCAACGATGTGGATGGAACTGGAGGGTGTTATGCTGAGTGAAATAAGTCAATCAGAGAAAGACATGTATCATATGACCTCACTGATATGAGGAATTCTTAATCTCAGGAAACAAACTGAGGGTTGCTGGAGTGGTGGGGGGGGTGGGAGGGATAGGGTGGCTGGGTGATAGACATTGGGGAGGGTACGTGCTATGGTGAGCGCTGTGAATTGTGCAAGACTGTTGAATCACAGATCTGTACCTCTGAAACAAATAATGCAATATATGTTAAGAAAAAAAAAAGAAGAAGATAGCAGGAGGGGAAGAATGAAGGGGAGTAAATCGGAGGGGGAGACAACCATGAGAGATGATGGACTCTGAAAAACAAACTGAGGGTTCTAGAGGGGAGGGGGGTGGGGGGATGGGTTAGCCTGGTGATGGGTATTAAAGAGGGCACATTCTGCGTGGAGCACTGGGTGTTATGCACAAACAATGAATCATGGAACACTACATCAAAAACTAATGATGTAATGTATGGTGATTAACATAACAATAAAAAATTTAAAAAAACAAACAAACACATAGGAGGGAACCAACCTACTTCAAGAAAGTAAACTTGAAGTAAGATCTAAGGGATGAGTAGGAGTAATCCAGGAGATGAGGTGTGTTGCAGATGAGGCCATAGGGAAAGAAAGAGTCTTTAAAGCAGAGGAAATAGATGTGCAAAGGGCTGGAGTCTGGAGTTGAGAGAGAGAGAGAGAGAGCAGTATGTTTAATTAATTGAAGCTCAGTGTACTTCCAGTGTGGTTCAGTGTGGGGCAAGGGTGAGGGAAGTGTCAGAGTGGGGGTTGGGGTGAGTAGGTTTCAGCAAGAAATGAAGCCTGAGAGATTTGGAAAGGTCCAGATCATAAATTGCCTCACAGTCTTTTAGATTTTGGACATTTTGCTTGCAGCAGTTTTAAGCAAGGAAATGGCATTCTCAAATGCATGTCTTACTTTATAAGATCACCCTGGTTACACTATGGAGAATGGGTTGGAGAGGCACCGATTGGAGGCAGAAAGTCCAATTAGGAGGGACCAGGATAGCTGCAGTTGGGGGCAAGGTGGAGAATAATGACTAAATTTTGGAGATTTATAGGCTAGAATCAAAAGAGAAATAGGTCTGGGGTGCCTGGGTGGCTCAGTCGGTTAAGTGACTGCCTTTGGCTCAGGTCATGATCCCAGGGTCCTGGGATCGAGCCCCGCGTCGGGCTCCCCAGTCGTCAGGGGGCTTGCTTCTCCCTCTCCTACTCCTCCTGCTTGTGTTCCCTCTCTCGCTGTCTCTGTCTCTGTCAAATAAATAAAATCTTTAAAAAAAAGAGAAACAGGTCTGAGGGTTTTGTTCTGGAACCCAGAATCCGATGTGCCTCTGAGGCATCTGAGCAGACACTGAGATGGCTAAATGCTAGCTCAAGACCCCTGGTGCTAGCAGTGGCCATGTAACATAGTCCTGGCCAAAGAGTCTGACTGATACCGCCCCTTCCTCCTTCCTGCCTTGAATATGAAGTTGTAGCAGCCCTCTTGTAACCATGAGGGAAAGGCCACATGAATTGTTGAAATGACAACCCTGGTTAAGTATGAGCCACTTAACCAATGCCAGGGGCCATCTAGCTTTGGGACGCATAGATAGTTAATTTCCCATTTATTGGTTGGGTTTTTATTACTTGCAGCTTAAAAATACCTAATATGCATGCGACTGGAGATTTCCAGGATGGTAGGCTATATATGGGTCTGGAATAGAACTGGCTTGAAGACTGGGGAACTTTAGGAATCATCAGCATATAGACAGCAACTAAATTCAAAGAAATGCCTGAAATAGTCCAGAAAGTGCAGAGGGCCATAGTCAGAGCCCTTATGAACACCAATACATATTTAAAAGGCAGGCAAGAAAATAGGAGATTGGGATGGAGTGGCCAAACATCTAGGAAGAAGAATATTGGGAAGCTGTGTCACAGAAACCAAGCAAGGAGAACTTTCAAAAAAGAGGCCAATACCTACCACGGTGCAAATCTCAAGTTACACAGTATCCTCTAAGAACTCCTCTCTGACCCTCCAAGACCCCTCCTCTGTGTTCCTGTAACTCTAAACTGTCCCATTATAGCACTTCTCAAGATGTCCTAATTCCTTGTTTATGTCTCTTTCTCCCCTGCCTTCCACCACAATGTTGTAATCAACCTGAGACGGCAGGGGTCTCTCTTACTCACATTTGTTTCCCGAGCGCCTGGCACAGTACCTGGTACACAGGAGGCTCTTGACAGATTTTGTTAAGATCAGGGGTCGACCACTGTAAGACCTTAGGGAAGAGGGATCCCAGAAGGAAAAACGCTATGCAAATAGGACGAAACACTATGATTACTGGGATGTTAGGTGTCTGGTGCTAAATGGTTGTTCAAAGGGAGAAACTTCAAGGGAGATGGTGGTAGGTCGTAGCTCTGGTGATAAAAAGGTTGTAAAGATACGTGGCGCAAACACAGGAGAAGAGTACAGGTCCACAGAATGAAGCCTGAGTCTCTCTGCTCCTCGGAGGCAAGGACCCGTGGTGTTATGCTTTGCTTAAGGGGTCTCTTCCTCTCTGGATTTAAGTTCTCCGAGGCAGGGGTCGTGTTGTCAGTGTTTGGCACACAGTGGGTGCTCAATAAATGCTGAATGAATATATATTTCCATATCCCCAGTGCCTATCACAATGCCCAGCACCTAGATAGTGCCCAGTAAAAGGCTAACGGCTGAAAGGCTAAATGGGCTGGGTGTAGATAAAGCTGGAAAGAGACGGAGTCGCGACAGAAACGCGGCCAGGTAAGGAGGAAGTGGGTCTCCGGACCGGTCCGCTCGCCACCTTCTCTGCCCTTCGTTTAGCATACATCCTTGCACTTCTCCATCTCGCGTGCCCTGTCCGCCTGGCACTCGGACGACAAAGTAACACACCTCCCCGGGAATACTAGCGACAAACCACTCCTTCCAGACCTCAAATGAGCCCCAAACCGCTTACCAGCCGCCCAGCATTCTGGCTCCAGGTCCTCAGCACACGCACTGCAGCCATCTTACCCGGAAATGACAAATGCTCGGTGGTTGTTAGTGTTGTCTCGCTGGGGTGACCTATCGGGAGCCGGGAAACGCACCTCCCCCTGAGCGGCCAATGGCGAGGGCAGGAACGAGCCTCCCACACCATAGCCAACCAGCGGGCGGGGCGGGGCCTGAGATAACCACTTGGGTCGGGGGGAGCGTCCCCCGAGGAGGTAAAAGAGCAAGCTGGAGCGGGGAAATTGCGGAGGCAGCTCAAAGTTAATTTCAGGGACCAGGTTGGGCAAGCCATTGCTGTGTCCACGAACGACCATCTTTTTCATCCATGAAGTGGAAATAGAGACTGTTAAGGGAACACAAAGGGAAGGCACTTGGAGAGAGTTACGGTGAAGACCTGATGAGTAGGAAAATATCCCCTTTCAGCTTGTATTGTACCCGCCTTGATTACGAAAATGGGACATTACTACACTTTGAGGCAAAGGCTCTGTACCACTAATTGAGTCGCAAGCCTATGCTGGAATCCTACCCAGTGACTGGTATTCCTTACGCCCGTGGAGGGGTTCTTGGTGACATAAATCGCCTTTTCAATTTTTTTCCTTCACAGAAGATAAAGGTTACCCTAATGTCTAAAATAAAGACATTATCTTTTCTTCTTAGAGAATGTTGTCAGATGCAGCTGCCCAGCATATATAGTATATATCACAGACATATAACCTTGATTTACTTGGCTCTTGGAGAATGTCAAATTCAGGTCAAGTTGATTGGGGGGAAAATAAAAGTTCAGAGCTTTAATAGTCTTTCTCAGAGTAACTAGGATACCAATTTCTAGAAACTTCCAGGATGACATTTGCCTGGTTTTTGTCCTCTAGATAGGAGTTAAAGTTAAAGAATTAAAGACAAAAAAATTGGGGGGGGCGCCTGGCTCAGCCATTAAGCGTCTGCCTGCCTTCAGCTCAGGTCATGATCCCAGGCTCTTGGGCTTGAGCCCCACATCGGGCTCCCTGCTCAGCCGGGAGCCTGCTTCTCCCTCTCCCACTCCCCCTGCTTGTGTTCCTGCTCTCGCTCTCTCTCTCTTTCTCTCTCTCTCTGTGAAAATAAATAAAATCTTTTTAAAAAAATGGGGAAAAACAATATAAATCCTCAACATTGAACGTTAGTGGCTGTGAAACAAATTCTCAGTTATTTCACAAATTTACTGTCTAATATTACCCAAACTCACACTTTTTTTTGCTTTATTTGCTTTTCAGTATATTTCACATACAAACTATTATAAGCAATAAATCCAAATCATTCCTTTTATAACAAAATCTGGAAAGTCAAAAGAACTTTAATTTTTTTTAACTTTCCTATTAACAAAACATTTTATAGGCACTACTCATTTGATAACCCCATATGTGCGTGTGTTTTTAAAAACAAGATGTAGTAGCCGTGACTTTGAAGTGAATTATTTTCTTCCCAGGGCCCCTATACCACCTTCTTCCTCTTAACTTTCCCTTTAATCTACCTTCTCCCAAGAAAATATTTGGTTATTCTTTTCTTTTACCTTCTTTTGACCTCAATGGATTACTACTTCCACATTCAGTGTTGTGTGTGTCCTTATCTTTCAGCATCAACAGTTATGCCACCTACTTACTAGTTATTCCTTTTGCTTGAGTTCAAAAGAACCAAAGAACCATTTTTCCCTTTTCCTAATTAATAAAGTGACTGATTATGACCCATCAGTTCCACTGCTAGGTATCTACCCAAGAGAAAGAAAAACATATGTCCCTACAAAGACTAGTACAAGAATAATGGCAATAGCATTGTTTTTAATAGCCAAAAACTAGAAACAGTCCAAATACTCTTCAACAGGTGAACAAATGAACAAAATGTGGTATATTCACATGATAAAAGATTATTTATCCTTAAAAATGACTGAAACACTGGTACATGCTGTGACATGGACAAACCTCAAAAATATTATGGGAAGTAAAAGAAGCCAGATCTGAAATGTTATATATTGCATGATTCTATTTATATGAAATGTCCAAAGAAAACAATCTACAGAGACAGAAAGCAGATTAGTGGTTGCCTGGGGCTGGGAATGGGAATGGCAAAGGGCAAATGACTGGGAATGGGAATGGGAAAAAGCTTTTTGTGGTGATGGAAATTTCCTATTACCAGACTGTGGCGATGGTTGCATAACTGTAAAATGTACTAAAAATCACTGAATTGTACACTTAAAACAAGTGCATTTTATGGTATATAGCTCAATGTAGCTTGTTAAAATTTGTGTTACATTGTACACTTACAAAAGAATAATGTAACATATAGATAAGTCACACATAATAACAAAAACCTTTTTTTTCCTTTTTTTTTTTAAAGATTTTATTTATTTATTTGAGAGAGAGAGAATGAGAGATAGCACGAGAGGGAAGAGGGTCAGAGGGAGAAGCAGACTCCCTGCTGAGCAGGGAGCCCGATGCGGGACTCGATCCCAGGACTCCAGGATCATGACCTGAGCCGAAGGCAGTCGCTTAACCAACTGAGCCACCCAGGTGCCCCATAATAACAAAAACCTTGAACCCATTACCCAATTTAACAAATAGAACCTTTCCTATTCTCAGGAAGGTCACACTGTCTGCTCCTCTTAACCCTTCCTCTCACCTGAAGAAGGGTTAAGAGGAGCAGCATACCTTTGTTTCCATATGTTATATATGTGTGTTCATCATACCTTTGTTTCCATATGTTATATATGAATCTCTAACAATATCTTGTTTATCTTTGCTTATTTTTGAGTTTTATAAAAATGGTATCAAATTCTATCTTTCTGCAACTAGCTTTTATGACCATGCCACAATTTCTTTATCCATTCTCTATGCAGTGAACATTTGTGCTGTTTCCAGTTCTTTGCTACTTCTATTACCACCAGTGCTGCTATATACATTCTTTTCTCCTGGTACATGTGCTAGAGTTTCTTTAGGGCAGTGCTTCTCAGATCGTAATGAACATTCATATCATCTGGGGATCTTGTCCTAGCAGATTCCAATGCAATAGATCTGGGTGAGGCCTGAAATTCTGCATTTCTAACAAGTCTAGGTGATACAGTTGCTACTGGTTAGCCAATTACACTTTGATTAGTAAGACAAGGATATATACTTAAAAATAGAATTGTGGAGGGGCACATGGCTGGCTCAGGGGGTGGAGCTCTTGATCTCGGGGTTGTGAGTTCAAGCCCCACATTGGGTGTAGAGATTACTAAAATAAATAAAAAAACAAACTTAAAAAAGATAGAATTGTGGAGACTTGGATTATACTTATCTTTTTTTTCTTTTTGAGAGAGAGAGAGAGAATGAGCAGGGAGGGGAAGAGGGAGAAGGAGAGAGGGAATCTTAAGCAGGCTCCACGTTCAGCACATATCCCAACACGGGGCTGGATCTCACGACCCTGAGATCATGACCTGAGCCAAAATGAACAGTGGGTTGCTTAACTGACTGAACCACCGAGGCACACCAAGATTATACTTATCTTTAACTTTACCCAAGATGATGCTATATTGTTTTCCAACATGATGATGCAAAATACACAGCAGCTGTTAAAGAGATTACCCATTGTTTCTGATTTGATATTGTTGCACTTAAACAGAGTTAATATCTTCCCAATATAGTGGTTATAAAATGATATCATGTTCTTAATTTGAATTTCCTGGTTGTTAATAAGGTCGAACACATTTTCATATGTTTATCAATCATTCTTGAAGTGCCTGCTCATGTTTTTAGCTTATTTTTTCACTACTGTGTGTATGTATTTCTCTTGATGATTTGTGTGGGAGTTCTTTATATATTTTAGGTTGTAATGCTTTTTCATTTATGTGTTTTTGGTATCTTTTTCCTCATCTTTGCTCTTTTATAAGTGTCTTTGGTGTACGGAGTTCTTCCTTTTAACATGGTTGAATGTATCTGGGTTTTGTTTTTGTTCTTTGTTCTGTATGGTTAGTGCTTTTTCTGTCTTAAGAAATACTTCCCAACTGGGTGGCTCAGTTGGTTAAGCATCCAACTCTTGATTTCAGCTCAGGTCATAGTCTCAGGGTCCTGGGATCAAGCCTCACATCAGGCTCTGCACTCAGCACGAAGTCTGCTTGTCCTTCTTCCTCTGTTCCTCCCCCACTCTCTCTGTCTCTCTCTCAAATAAATAAATAAATAAATAAATAAATAAATAAATAAATAAAATCTTTAAAAGAAAAAAAAGAAATACTACCCAATCCAAAGTTCTGAAGGTAGTCTGCTATATTTCCTTCACATTTCAGTCTTGTTTTGTAATTTTAAAATTGAAATATCATTCACATACCATGAAATTCACCCTTTTAAAGTATATAATTCAATGCTTTTTAGTATATTCATAAAGTTGTGCAACCATTACCACTATCTAATTTCAGAATATTTTCATCACCACCAAAAGAAACCTCATACCCATTAAGAACTTCCCATTCTGGAATTCCCCCTACCCCCATCCCAAGCCCCTGACAACTACTAACCTATTTTCTGTCGCCATAAATTTGCCTATTCAGTCGTTTCCTTTCATATAAATGGAATCATACATTATGTGTTCTTTTATGACTGGCTTCTTTCACTTAGCATGATGTTCTCAAGGTTCATCTATATTACACATATATCAGTATTTTATTCCTTTTAATAGCTTAGTAATATTTCATGGTATGGATATAGCATATTTTTGTTTATCCACTCGTCAGATGGTAGACATTTGGGTTGTTTCCATTTTGGAACTATTATGAATAATGCTGCTATGAACATTCTTGTACAAGTTTTTTTTCTATCTTTTTTTTCTTGTACAAGTTTTAGTGTGGACATAGGTTTTCATTTTTCTTGGGTATATATCTAAGAGTGAAATTGCTAGGTAGCATATAACCCTATGCTTAACTTTATGAGGAACTGTCAGACTGTTTTCCAAAGTGGCTGCACCAATTTACATCCCCACTAGCAGTGTAGGAAGGTTCTGGTTTCATGCCCTCACCAACACTTGTTATTAC